AAATAGGGAAAAAAACTTCTGTATATACACGATCATATCGTAATTGTTTGTCAGCAGAGTTCTGTAATAACGCCCGAGTATAATATGTTTAATGATGGAAACTCGGGGTTGAAAAAAATTAAAATTGTTCTGATAATGACAGAAGACTACTTATATTGTTGTAAAATGCGAATCCTCATAACCTACAACTGCAGACTTGTAAAAATTATCATCTAGATAACTGTTATTCTCTCTCTTTCTCTGTATATATATATATATATATATATATATATATATATATATATATATATATATATATATATATATATATGTCGACTGGAGGCTGTTAGATTGTAGCAAAATGCAATAAAAGGTTGTCAAAGTGGAGAAAATAAGAATTTTGAGAATAAGAAATATAAAGACTGCATTAACGACCTACATGTAGAACAAGAAGACATAGATCACATACACAGCATGAAGGTGTATGTGTGGTTCCTTTGTTGTTGCTTTGGTGCGGGGTGGAGGTGGGGGTTAGCTGCACACCAGAAATAAATAGGTTACACTGCACTAGTACAAAATATATAATGCCGTAACTCAGTAGTAAGAGCCCCATTCCTATCTACGCATGCGTATGTACATCTTTCAATTCGCCTAGTTTACAAGTCTATTTGATAGATTTCTAAAGTTCCCAAAAATACCTACTGGTAGAAAATAGTCTTCTGTCAGTAGAAATCTGACAGGAGGAGATTTTAATGTAAAAGAATGTCTTAAGGGAAAAATGAAAGCGTTATTGGACATAACTCGCACGCACAAATTAGCTCGGAATTCCATATGCTTGTCGGTTCATTGGTCGCCCGCTGACAGTAGTCAACACGAAGCAAGCAACTGTTAGTGATCTGCAACATCTAATACCCAACTCGTTAACGTGCAATAAAAATTATCCTCAACTCTCCAGGATACAGAAAATTTACTTTGCTAAGTGTGATTCTTGAGTGTTCAAGACATGTCGACTGGAGGCTGTTAGATTGTAGCAAAAACGGTACGCACTTGTTTATATTGTCGTCTGCATTGTTATTACCAGGACACAATACATACAGAATGATTAAATTGTAGCAAATTTGGCACGCTCATTGTTAATATTGTCGTCTACATCGTTATTACCAACCGTCAAGGAAGCTCAGTAGGTAGAGCGCTCGCTAGGTTGTGTGTTCGAATTACGGCCGCGACTGACCTAAGTCAATAAAAAATAGGTAGCAACTGTTCCTTCGCCAAGCGCTCGGCACTTTGAAATGAAAGTTGCGGGTCTTTCGGATGAGACCTTAAAAACCGAGCACGATAAAGAACCCTCACTGCTCAATGTCCCTGAGTGCCGAGTAAAGGTCTAAATTTGAAGTCCTTCATCGGTATATGGTGACGTCTCTATGTAAGTGAAAAATTCTCGAACGGGACATAAAACAACATACAATCCATCAATCGTTATTACCATGCGACAATACATACGGAACGACTAGATTGTAGCAAATTTGGTACGCACATTGTTTATATTGTCGTCTGCATCGTTATTACCAGGAGACAATACATACAGAACGACTAGACTGCAGCAAATTTGTTACATATATAAATTTCTGAAAAGCAAGTCTAAATCTAACTTTTATTGTCGTCTGCGTCGTTACCAGGCGACAATACATGCTGCAGGTTATCTGTTCGCGGTGACAATAAATACCTGGCATTTGCATCATCAATTGTTGTCAATCCATCCCAAATTCGACAATAACAAAAACTTCATAGGCTAGCGATGAAGCCTAGCAACTAGATCTATGGCACAAAGGGAAAAAAATAGCTGGCGGATCCAGAATTGTAGGATCTTGATTGGGAAATCGATATTCTATGTCTCGTGAGATGTTAAGAAGTCTGGTGCAAACATATTTCAAAGCAGAAATTAATATTATTGTGATCTCATATTGCCATACTGGATCAAAATCTTGACAAGTGATTGCTTTTTCGTGAAGTGGGATTTATCCCAGGTGTCAGTTTTCGTTCGCGAATGATCTTTTTAGGTACACATGTACATATACACGGTAGCTCAGTCGGCAAAGCGCTCGCTCCGTGATAGGAAGGTCGTGTGTTAGAATCACGGCCATGACTGACATAAGTTGATAAAATATAGGTAGCAACTGTTCCTTCGCCAAGCGCTCGGCACTTTGAAGTGAAAGTTGCGGGTCTTTCGGATGATACCTTAAAAACTGAGGCCCCGTGTCACGGTAGGCGTTGGCACGATAAAGAACCCTCACTGCTCAATGGCCCTGAGTGAAGAGTAAAGGTCTAAATTTGAATCTCTTCACCGGTATATGGTGACATCTCTAAATGAGTGAAAACGACGTTAAACCGCAGTCTTTCAATATAGTGGATTCAAAGCCTTGCAGAGAAAGGTACATTGCAGGGTTTGGTAAATGTTCAACCAAGTCCTTATCTTAACTCTTCACGTGCTGTGCTTCAACATATTCAAGAAGTGATGTAAGTGAAATGTGGATTCTCAAACTAAAATTTAAAAAAGAAATCGAAAGAACTTTAAGAAATTTTAAAATCAGAATTTTTTCCCGAAATCAGTAATGCAACCTTTCCTCATGATACATTAAAGATTTTTTGACATGATTGACAACTGCTTCTTCAATAAAAATGGAACTTGTGAATTGTCATACCTCTCAGTTGTGATTGGTTCATCTTAAAATTACTCAATGAAAATTACTGTGATTTCACACACTAGTATTCGGATTGACTGATCGATTATCTGTTTTTTACGCCGAGTCGAGAGTATCTCAGACAAACGTTGGCAATAAAAATAGATGTTCTGTGATGAGTTGTGAGGTTCTGGCTTCTCTGACGGCCCTTAGTGAGCTTACTCTTGTTCAAAAACCAAGTTAAGAAAGTTAGGAACTTACGTAAGGAAGGATCGATCTTTTTGTGCCAAATGAGTTGTAACCCTTGAAACGGGGCGCCATTTAACATCCCGTCTGACAGACTTTTAATTAGAAAAATATTTAAACAATGAAAATTTTAATGTCTAAATATGTATACAAAGAAACTACTTAAAATACATCTGGATCTTACTATAAAAATAAGTTTTGTGTAAAAATTGTAGAAGTACTTAGGTTTGAAAAAAGTTTTTTCATTGACTGAAAAAAATCTTAAAGTCTGAAACTAAAAAAGAATGCTGGAGTTCTTCGAGTACAAATGCTACTGTGTTCCTGAATTAACCGACCTGCTTTTTGTAATCTCAGAAACAGAATTCATTCACTACTATACGAAAAGAATACTCTTCCTGTAGCCTTCAATTCGACGTTTAGATACAGTATGTCGACGTCGATTTATAAATGAACAATTATAGCTTACTTTATTCATATGTCGACTCAATATATATGTATCCCAGTGAATTTGAAATCAAAGACATTAGAGTATACCACAATTTTCATATTTGCAGGTTTTACTGACTATAGACGTTAATGACCGGCCGACAGGGGATGCTTACTCCTCCTAGGCACTTGATCCCACCTTTGGAATTTCGGGGGTCCGCATTTTATGCCCTGTTCACAGATTTGTATTGTGTGTAGAGTATTTTAGATTGATCACTGTTCGTTGTCTTCACCTTTTTTCAGTATATTACAGACCGTGACGGTCTGGCGATTCCTAGTCGGCCGGCCATTAACGTCTATAGTCAGTAAAACCTGCAAATATGAAAATTGTGGTATCAGTAGCTCAGTCGGTAGAGCGCTCGTTCTGTGATTGGAAGGATGAGTGTTCGAATCACGACCGCGACTGAACTAAGTCGATAAAAAATAGGTAGCAACTGTTCCTTCGCCAAGCGCTCGGCACTTTGAAGTGAAAGTTACGGGTCTTTCGGATGAGACCTTGAAATCCGAGGCCCCGTGTCACGGTAGGCGTTGGCACGATAAAGAACCCTCTCTGATCAATAGCCCTGAGTGCCGAGTAAAGGCCTAAATTTGAAGCCCTTCACCGGTATATAGTGACGTCTCTATATGAGTGAAAAATTCTCGAACGGGACGTAAAACATCATTTAATCAATCAACCAGTATATTACAAACGGGATAACTCAAGCCCCCCCCCCCCCCCCCCAAAAATAAAATCGACTTTCTCTTTTTATGTAGTAATATTTTTGATCTAGCAATATTACACAATCAACGGCATATGGTGTTTACGTCTAAAAATATGACGAAGTGTAGTCGAGTTGGTGTAATATAGTGTATTAGAATGCCAATCGTCAGGATCAATCATCTCCATTGTCCCAGATCATGTACATTTCCCAAATAATCTGTTATTTCTTGATCAAAAAAAAAAAATTATAAAGAATTAGAAAAAAATATGGAAATTTTATGTCTTAAGTTTCAAAACAACAATACATACATTCTTCTGAAAAAAAATGTATCCAGCAGCAAGGAAAAGGTGCGACTTGTACAAGTATATGAATTTTATACCAAGGTACAAATTCACACTTACACATAAGCTAATTCATGCTATAAAAAGGCGTGAAAGCACATCTATCTCAACATATCATTGCAACTGGGAAAAAATTGCTCTCTTGTCGAGATAAAAACAAATAATAATCTACTGAAAAAATACACCTTGGCATCGGATTCATCAAATGTTATCATAAAGCATTCCACTGGCTACAAATCACAGCCGCCATTCCCGACCTCTTCAGATTTCTGCATTAAAATATTTTTTTGCTCAGGAAAAATGTGTGTTTCTCGGGAATCCAGGTGATGCTGCGATTCAGATCGATACTTAGCAAAGACTCTGCGACAGAAAAAAATTAATGTGCTGAAAAATGCTTATAATGAATACGCCTAAATTCTCCATGGTTGTGTGAGGAAGAAGAATGCGAGTTTTTACTGTAATGCCGGTAGAATTTCTCACAGGAGCATGTTTTGTTATTTCATTACGGATGTGAAATAATATGTACACATGGCACTAAATAATTTTTTCTTTTTTTTTTTCTTTTCCAGGGGAAAATGATATTCGGAATTTGGCACTTCGTGAAATATTTGACCTAGAAACTTATATAAGGTATGTATTTTCTTACCATATGGTTAACATAGTCAATATTCTATTACTATTCTCCTGACTGATTAACATTCATTCAACAATAATGAAATCGACAGCGGAAAAATACGGAAATCGATCTCGGAGCTAGTTCGCCGACTAATGCCGATTCTCGTTATATAGAAACGTATAATTACATGTAAATGCTAATCACGCGGGAACGGAGATCGGACTCCTGAAACCAGATTAAGATATTTGCATATTTTGGGACTTTTAACATGGTTACAAAAAAGATCGTTTTATTTGAACGAGGAGGGATTATATCTTGAAGAGGGACTTTGAAGTGAATTTTTTCCTAATGTCATTATTGTGTTTCACTTGAGTATCCGTGTAATTGTCGCCGCATTCGTAACATCTCTAGATTACTCCTCTCCCCTTATCAGAGTGAACTTGAAAATCATCCAGGTCGCCAAAAATTCAGTATGATATCGAAATAAATAAAAATACATTGGAAAAGAGACCAACAAAACCTAAAAAAAAAAATTATCGAGTATGCAAATTGTGGTATCGAATAAACATGGTTTTCAATAGAATACAATTGAAATGATGAATATTGTTTTACTCCCAATGCCGTGTCAGTTTTTTTTTAAAAAAGAATTTTTAAGCTATCTAAGTAACTTTTGCTATCTATGTTCTCAATGTATAAAAGATCGGAAAGAATTACTATGCAACTATAGTTTGTGTGTGTGTTGGGGGTGATGTGGGGGGTGTAACTGCGTACACGAGTGATTGTGATTTTCTGGAGCAATGCATAGAGTATTTAAAAGAAGTTAACATGCAGGAAAACATCCTGGCATTATTTTTCTTAAGGTATTCTACATGTATCACTTATATCAATCAACATTCTTCTATACTATACCTTGGGGCTTTTTCCTCTGTTCTTAGAAAACGTAAAGTATGATTAATTTCTTGACTGCTGAATACCTGTACCATTATTGTATTTGTATAATTTTTAAATAACCCATTGTCTTGGGAAATGGTACATGTATATTACATAATTCATCACCTTTTAGAAAATATATTCATTTTATAAAGAGTAGCCCGGCAAGACTATACATTTTAAAGGGGCCTGGACACAGATTTGAATTTATTTTCTCAAATTTTCTGTATAATGTCATGACTTATATGTTGCTATAGCATTTCACACGGAAATATAATAAAAGCGTGTTCAATAGCTTTTTTTTATCTGGTAATTATTGAAACTACGAATTTCGGGACACGTTTGATTGACACATCCTTTCACTCTCACAAGGTAAACTTTATCTTTAATATTTAAGAAAAGTAGAAATTTTGTTGTGTATTCATGAAAAATATTATAATTATAATTCAGAAAATTCAGAGTAGAAATGTGAGAAAGCAACTCACCAGTATTGTCAGTCCGTGCTGCAGAGTTTAACAAATTGAACACACCCGGTGAAATGTAAACATCAACAGATGTTTGGCGTGATGTAAAGAAGAATGTCGTTGTCATTGAATTCTAAGAATATTCATGTAAATTCAATTCATTTAACTCGGATTATTTTTTTAATAAGCGTAGAAATTAAAAATGTAAACAATGCAACTGTGTCCAGGCCCCTTTAAAATTAAATTTTAATCATCCTCAAGGAATTTCTCAAATTATTTTCGGGAAAGTGACATACAGCTTGGGGGGGGGGGGGATTCAGGACTGGGGGAAGAGAGCGACAAAAAGTATTTTTTAACCAAAGAAACGTTAAGGAAAGAAAATGTATATTCTCCATGTATTTTAGTTGTCGATTCTAAATGCAATTTAATATTTATTAATTATATTTATTAATTATTATTAATTATATTTATTAATCAACCAACACGTGTTATCCTTATTCAATATTTATGCCAATCTTTATTTATATAACGTCCCTATTGTAGTGTAGTTATTGTGAATTTATCAATTAGTAATCTAAACTTGTGTGGAAAAAAATGGTTCCAAAAATCCAATGGCATGTAAAACACATAGTCAGATTGTAAGGGGAAAACAGCTTTACGTTCATGCATATGTAAACGACAAAAATGATCGGAGATAAGAAGATTAATAATCTAACAATGTTGATTTTGAACAATAATAATTCTTTTTTAAATAGAACGCTATTATAAGATTTTAAATCACGCGATTCATTTCGTGATACATGTATATGCATATTCACTTGCTATCCGTTTGTCCATCAGAATGTGTCCTGTGGAAACCATCTTCTCGAAAACCCGCGTGCCAAATCTGACCAGACAATTATCAGTTTTATTTGTTGATTAAAGAATAAATAGCTATAGAGTCGTGTTCCTTTTAGACGGATAGGACTTAGGAAAGAGAAAATTCGAGCTAAATCGATTAAGAATCTACCCTAAACTACCGAGACAGAATTCAATAAACTTAAATGTATAGCTTCTATATAGAGCAGTAGGAATTCAATTAATTTCAAAACAAATGTAAATTAAGCTGATGACAGACTTACTTATGATTAATGTATCAAGTGTGATTGACTTACACATGAACACCAAGAAAAAGTATCAAAATCTAAAACATACAGGCTGCAAAATAAATTTTGAAAATAGGATTTAAGTTGTTTTATGGTGGGAATGAAATATTGGGGTTTAAAGGAAGGAATTTTAATCTTTTAGGGGGACCAAATGTAGTGTAGATTCATTTTTTAAAAAAGATAATGACCCTTTAGGATTGATCGAGGTTGGTCATATATGGAAATGTTACTTTAAAGTCCTTCATGACTAATGAATATCTAGCACGCAAACGGTATTTACAGCATTGTGTGATCAGTTAGTCCTCTACCGCAATTATAAAGTTCATTTCCCCTATGGTTCAGAGATCAGGCCCCAGGGTGAGTTAAATTATTGAAAAAGCATTATATAATTCTTTGAAAATATTCTTTACATTGGCGTACCGTAAACAGTATAAATGATGGCAATAAAATATGAGATTTCGTGCTTATATTGGTTCAAAGTTCAGGAAGGAGTCTAGATAAAATGTTTACAAAAAAGTCTTTTAGTCATAGCATCTTGCTGATCACCGAACTAGCATGAATTTGATAACATAGATAATGAAGTCCAGTGCCAAAATAGAAAAATCAACGTCTAAAAGGTATAATTCAATGTTTAAGAGGATTCAAATCCATGTCTAAGAGGTCCAAATCCCAATTTAATAGGTCCAAATCCATGTGTCTATGAGGTCCAAGTCCATGTCTAAGAAGTCCAAATCCATGTCAAAGATGCCCAATTTCATGACTGACCTTCAAGACCCACGTGTCTTTTGGTCATATAATATGTAGCTCAGGATTTTATTTTATTGATACATGACAGAAATGTAATTGTTGATATTTCAAGCACTTGTCCCATGTAGCAGTACCATTCTTGACGTTTTCAACCCATTTAATAACCTAATAGCAGATTCATCTGAAGCGGGGAATCATAGACGGTGTAACTAATGTCATTACTTACCATTTATCAGACAAAGAGATCAGAATTATGGGAAAGTTCTTTGAAAAATCGTTAAAAATAATCGTCTTAGTGAGCTCCAAAGACATAAAAAATATGATATTGAAGATTACATGCCGAATGCAAGTTTTTCCATAACAACAGATATTGAAAAATCCTTATTAAAAAGTTGGCACCAAGAGCGATAATTTCACAGCCATAAAGATTACCAAGCTTGCCGCAGTAATTATACGGCCACGAGCTTTTTTCGACATTATTCCTGTAATTAATTTTACATAAAGGCCACTTCGTTAAGAGGAAGTCATGCCGACATTTGTTGTCGTTCCTTTATAAAGTATATCTGATACAACTGCCTTTCTACAATCTATTGGATACTTAAAATCTCCAGTACTGCCAGGAGCAATTAATAAATAGTTTCACAAAAATTAAACTCTGACAGAAGCCGTCATAAAATGCCATACCGGGAATACAACCAATCGAAAACGCAGCACGATGAAGCCTCCGGCATCGTCCTGTGTGGTAGGTCTGAAGTCGTTATGATCTAGAAACTTTGATTTCAGATGTTCGCTGAAATAGATAAAAATTAACAAACGCATCATTATCCTCCAAAATACATAAAGGAATTTAAAAAAAAACTGTACAAATAGATATATTTATTTTCATTAATATATTCATATTTCATATTTAACAAAAGCAGATCGATAAACGGGAAAAGTATGAAATTTGAAGATAACGCTCAGTAATCCAGCTCAAAAGTCCATTAAAACAATACAAATTTGGAGCACATCAAAAACAATCCTATAAAAACATCAGCGGTGGGATCAGGTACCATGGAGGAGTAAGCATCCCCAGTTGACCGTCACACCCACCTTGTGCTTTTCGTCATGATCGGGCAAACGGGAAAATCCATAGAGAATTCAGTGAGGAAATAATAATATAACAATTTGAACGAAAAACGTCAGTCAATCAACATTTGATTAACGATAGATTGTATTTTCTAACAAGGTCATTGTATCGACCGTAGACTTTTCCAAATGTTGACTTTAAACGGGGCAGTTGATATATTTATATCATCAGCTTTTTTGTCAATAGCTTGCCTCGTTTTAGAAAAAATAAGGGAAGTTGACGATAGAAAAGTTGAAGTTATCACGTTTATCATAAGTTTTGTTGTTTGCCATTAATTTCTCTTGTAGTAAAATATCAAAATATATGAAACAGATATGTCATACTCTGTAGAGTCTTTTAATTTGAGTTCAAAGAGATAAATCGAATCAACGTAGGAATGAAAATAAATATATCTAAATGTAGAATTAAAGGCCACAGCAAAAGACTTCTTTTCATGTAATGCGAAATAACCATTAACAGGTATAAGTAAATATTCACCATTGCCACTGGTCATCGACTTCTGTTCCTTTAGAAATATGTGTACCTTATCAAGCCTGGGGACCGTTTCACTAACAGGTCGTAGCTCGTAAATGTAGACGTAAATGTGAACGTAGCACGTA